CTCTGCGCGACGTCAAGTAATTTCTCGCAGCTAGCAACGGAATGTATATGGCGAGCAATAACGAGATCGGCAACTCTCGGCGACGCAGATAATTCTCGCGCACCGTGTACCTTCGCGGTACGTGTATCTCGGTAACGTGACGTGACACTGCAACGGTGATACGCGACAACTAGGCTTGGTTCGCTTCACTTTAAGGCTCGGACTCAGATCGAATTCGAGAAGAACGAATAGCTGTTATTGATCCGTATCGATCTGGATCGGGAAGCGAACTGAACTCTCGCACGCGGAACGTATGCGCGATAGTCAGCTTTTCGGGTGTCGCGCAAGGGGGGTCGCGTGCCATCTGAGATAGACAGCGTGGTTAGAACAGGAGCGAGTGTTTTGAACGGTGTCGATGAGCTATTGACTTGTCGTCCCGAAAAATATATTTAAATTAATAATGATTCCGGAACAGTGTATTTCTACCAAAGTTCATGATAATCGGATGTTAGACGTTTTCGGAAGTTCACCTGATATTTCATTACATTTTATTATTTTCATATTATTATTTTTCAGTAAAAAAAACTTTTAAGTACGGTATTCTGTATTAAATATGGTTATAAGTATTTGAAATATATTTGTAGGTCGGCTTAGTAGATCTCCTAACATCCTTAGGAATTAATCCGGATTACATGATTAGTCATTCTGGCGGTGAACTCGGTTGCGCGTACGCAGATGGATGTCTCACCATTGAACAAACTATTTTATCAGCATATTTAATTGGTTTGGCATGTGCCGAAGAAAAAATAATTCGTAGCTCAATGGCGGTTGTCAGTATCGGTTACGATTGTCTTAAAAACATATGTCCAACGGACATTCAAATAGTATGCCGCAATAGTGAGAACAATAACGTCGTGAGTGGACCTATAAAATCCGTACAAGAATTCATGAACAAATTACAGGTAGATTTGAAGATAGGACTTATATTTTCTATATGTAAAAATTTACTTAATAGTTATTAAAATATCGAATCGTTAAATTTAAGTTAAGATACAATTTGCTACAACTGCATGTGTTGTATTTTTGTATCAGGTGAATAACATTTATGTGAAGGAGATCTATTGCAACATACCGTATCATAGTTCGTATCTCGCATCTGCGGAAACTCAACTTTTGCTTAATTTGAACAAAATAATACCCTGGCCAAAGAAACGAAGTCCAAAGTGGATCAGCACTTCCATACCTCGTACCGAATGGGTTAATTCAGAATCGAAATTATCATCGGCAAACTATCATACCCGTAGTATATTAAATACCGTTCTCTTTGAACAAACATTATATTTAATTCCGAGTAACGCTATTACTATCGAACTCGCACCACACGGCGTTCTGCAGAACGTATTGAAAGAATCTTTGCATCCAAAAGTGACAAACATTGTATTGACTCAACGCACTGAACAAAATAACAATGTAACTTTTCAAGGAATTGGAAAGCTTTACAACTCTGGACTACACCCGCAAGTTGCAAATTTGTATCCACCAGTAGAATATCCAGTTAGCAGAGGAACTGCTATGATTTCTCCATCGATCAGGTATAAGAAATTGCCGTAATTGTAATCTAGAGATTGTTCATATAAGATAAATAGATATACATACATCATTGTTCAGAATATTGGAAACGCTTGTAATTTTTTCGCATGTCACAAAAAGTTATATATCGATAAAAGAATCATGTAAATGTCGAATAGCTCTTAAAAATGCATTTAAGAAAAAAAGGTAGAACTTCAAAAGGTCTCTGCAGCCTCTTTGATGTAATAAAAAAAAAATCGAAAAAATTTTGTTGCGTTCATTGAAAGTTTAATGTGGGGAGAATGTGTCCCCAAAACTGTAATTAAAAAAAATTTTGAATATTTAAAAATGTATAATAACAGGTATATATATAATTATATAATAAATAAAACATATATCACTTTTTAATGTCACATTAGATGGGATCATTCCGAAGATTGGTTTATACCAAAGTATAAAATACAAAAGTCCATAAAATGTAGGGAAAGATATGTCGAAATTTTACTCGACAATGAGGATTATGATTATATGAGTGATTATATAATTGATGGAAGCAATTTTTTACCCGTGACAGGTTATCTTGCACTTGTTTGGCAAACTGTCGGCATGATAAAAGGGCAAATATACAAAACACTATCGATAGTTTTCCGAGACGTAAACTTTATTCGTGCTACTTATTTGTCGAAAAATGATGCTGTAAATTTGAAAATTGCGATACAGAAAGGTATTAAAAAGGTAACTTTAAAGTAGCATAATCATAAAAATGTATATAAACGAATATATAAAAATATTACAGATGGGAAGTTTGAAATAACCGAAGGAGATAGCGTTATTGTGACAGGTACAGTGTACGAGACATTGAATCCAGAACAAGAAATGATTCCGACAAATCTATTACTGAAAAATAATGATGAAGAAGAACTCATGACTGCGCGTGATATCTACAAAGAATTGAAATTGCGTGGATATCAGTACAGTGATTTGTTTCGTGGATTAAAGAGTGCATCTATATCAGGCAAACAAGGACACATCATATGGAAAAATAATTGGGTAACATTCATGGACTCTATGTTACAGATGAAACTTATCGGATATGATACTAGGAATCTGTATGTTGCTACGAGTATTCAAAAAATAGTGATCAATCCAATGCTTCACGCTTGGAAGCTACAGGACATCACGGATAGTGGAGAAGTTATAACAGACATTGATAAACGTAATTGTTCTTCAATTACTGAGAGTTATATATTTGTTCAATATATAAATATATAATTCAATATATAGTTCAATATATAAATATCGTATAAAAAATCTCTAACATAAAGCATATTATTATGTATTATTACAGTATTACCGATACAAATTTACAAAGAGACAGACACGATTAAAGCTGGTGGAATAGAGATACGAGGTCTTAAAATCACTCAAATCAATCGTCGGAATTTAGCCCAAGATGCTGTTCTTGAGGAATATACATTTGTAGCTCATTGTGATCGCACTAAGATTCCTTTAAACGAAGCAATTCGGATATCAGCACAACTCGTTCTGGAAGATCATCGAATTATTAATGTGAAAGTTGTGGAGCTAGTGAAAGATGAAGATAATGTTACATTAGAATTTCTCTCATCTTCGTTGCTGCTTGAGGCATTTAATGATATGCCGTTAATACAAACGAGTATCACTCTATTAACATCATCGAATCATTTTAGTCCAGATTTATCGCAAAACTTTTCAATCAGAGATTTGGAAAAACCATCTTTAGATGACAAAGCTTTAATTGTTGCTGGATTCAACCTTTTGACCAAACAACATGAATCGTTAGAGCGACTATTACCATTTTTGAGAGAAGGTGGTTACCTGTTGACGCGTGAAAAATGTGACGTAATTGACTATACAAAACATTTACAACAATACGAATTAAATGTTGTCCTTGAAAAGTGCACTGATGAAGAAATAATTGTGCTTCTAAAGAAAAAAATTTTGATAGAAAAAAGGATCGTTGTCTACGTAAGTAATGATAACTTTAATTGGCTGGAAAATCTAAAGCCGCTGGTGAACGATGAGAACAAGCTCGATGAGAATAATAGAATCATAATTGTTGGAGAGAGAGATTTCGAATGCGGTTTATTGGGTTTTATTAACTGCTTGAGAAAAGAACCAGGTGGAAATCTCGTTAGGGGTGTGCTCGTTCAAGATGAAAAGGCTCCTAAATTCTCTCTTGAAGATCCCTTTTATCTAGAGCAATTACAGAAAGATATGACCATTAATGTACTGCGATTTAATAAAACTTGGGGATCGTACAGACATTTGAAATTACCACAACCCGAAGCCAAACCTGTATCTACCGCTCATGTCTGTCAATCGGTACGTATAAATCTTTTCAAAACATATTACTTGCTATCATTGTACAATAATATTATGTATCTCGTCTTTTTTATACTGTCACGCTGTTTCTATTTGTACATTTTATCATATATGTGACACATTATGATATGAAAAATTTTCTATAGGTTTATGCTGATCTAAGTACACTTTATTGGGTAGAAGATAACAGATCAGTTGAGTCTCGTCATGAGGATTTAGTAAATGTTGTTTATTCATCTCTAAATTTCAAAGATGTATTGCTTACAACTGGTAAAATAATATTTACTCAAACGCTTTTGAAAGGACGGTTGGATCAATATTTTCCTATTGGAATGGAATACGTAGGATGGGATGCTAACAAGCAACGTGTAATGGGAATTCGTGAGACTGAGTAAATAATACTTTATAAAATTAGTATGTTGTGTAATATCATAAAATTGAAACTGAATTAAAATTATTCTTTTTAGTTGTATAGCAAACGTTGTTGCGAAAGATAAAGATCTTTGTTGGAAAATACCCGACACGTGGACATTCGAAGAAGCAGCGACAGTCCCGGTGATTTACAGTACGGTTTACTTAGCCCTATACATTTACGGAAAAATGAAAAGAGGCGATAAAATACTTATACATTGTGGTACTGGAGGCATTGGACAAGCAGCTATTCATCTCGCTCTCAAAGAAGGATGCGAGGTGTTTACTACCGTGGGCACGAGTGATAAACGGGATTTTATTAGAAAATTATTTCCGACTATTTTGGATGAACATATTGGAAATTCTCGAGATACTAGTTTTGAACTAATGATAATACAGCAGACGAAAGGTCGCGGAGTCGACATTGTGTTAAATTCATTAGCGGAAGAAAAATTAATCGCTTCCGTTCGATGTTTAGCTCAAAACGGACGATTCTTAGAAATTGGTAAATTTGATCTTATTTCTAATAATCCCCTAGATATGTCTGCGTTCCAGAAAGGTATCAGTTTTCATGGAATTATATTGGAGAATTCATTCACTGATGATCGCAAGTATAAGTCGCTATTATGCAAAATGGTAGCTGATGGTCTTGAAAATGGAACAATCAAACCAATTCAAGTGAAAATTTTTTCAAAAACAGATGTTGAAGAAGCTTTTAGGTATATGGCGAGTGGAAAACATATAGGAAAGGTATGCCTGTACTAATTAATAGCAGATAGAGTTATTCACAAATAATAGTTTTGTCTAAGTTTCTCTTACACATAATATTCATTCTTAGTGTAATTTTTTTATAGATAATTATAAATATCCATGAAAAGAATGAACCATTAGATAAGCACATTCTCGCGTACCGTCGCTATTATTGTCTCAAAGATAGAAGTTACATTATATTAGGAGGTCTGGGTGGATTTGGGTTAGAGTTAACCGACTGGCTTATACTTCGTGGTGCCAGAAACGTTATTTTAATTTCACGAACTGGAATAAAAAACGGTTACCAGCGCATGAAAATTCGATTGTGGAAATCATATGGTGTAAAAGTTTTGATCATCAAAAATATCGATATTGCTAACACCAAAGACTGCGAATGTCTCTTACGAAGTGTGGAAAAAGAAGCACCGGTGGATGCAATAATCAATCTCGGTTTGGTACTGAAGGACAGCTTCTTGAAGACTCAAACCGCAGAGACTTTCGCAGAATCCTTCTTATCAAAGGCTCGAGCAACTCAAACATTGGACAAACTTTCTAGAAAAATCTGTCTTAATTTACGTCATTTCATAGTGTTCTCTTCTATTTCCTGTGGCAGAGGAATCGCTGGGCAAACTAATTATGGCATGGCCAACTCCATCATTGAGAGAATTTGCGAAAAGAGGGTGGAGGAAGGATTACCTGGATTAGCGATTCAATGGGGGACTGTAGGTGAAGTGGGTTTTTTCGCTGACATAGAGGAGGACAATAAAGAATTAATCATTGATGGCATTCTACAGCAAAAAATTTCCTGCTGTCTTGACGAATTCGATAAGTTTTTACTTCAAAGCCGGCCAATTGTAAGCAGCATGGTTGTAGCTGAGAAGAAAACAAGATCTTCTGGATTTAGCAATCTGGTAGCAACTGTCGCTAATATTTTAGGTAGGTGTTCCTATGCATATATTTTTTACAAAGTCAATTTATGAATGATATAGGACACTACAAAAAAATCATAATTTATTTTATGCTACAGACATAACTGACATAAAAGTGGTAAGTCCAAATTCGTCTCTGGCCGAACTTGGAATGGACTCCATGATGGCCGTGGATATCAAACAAACTCTGGAACGAGAGTTTAATATTCTTTTCACAGCACAAGAGATTCGAAATCTTACTTTTGCAAAACTCATTGAAACATCCACAAAAATCAGTGATAATAATATGCATAATAGAAAGAAACTCGACACAGAGAAGCCAGAATATTTAGCACATGTAATTCTTGCTATAAAGGATGAAGACTTTATTTCACAAACTTATTCTACTCTTTCGACTAAAGGACAGGGAACTACATCTGAAGTATTTCTTATACCAGGTGTTGACGGATGTGGAACTACATTTAATCATTTAGCACCAAATATTTTATTTTCAGCAACATCCTTCCATTATAACACAAGCAATATTGATCCTACTACAAACATTATATCAGAGAAAACTGATCACCTCATAAAGGTACCAGTGAACTGTATCAGTAATTCCTGTTATATTGACGAATATACTGTTCTTATTTGAGGGGCATAAAGATCACTTTCATGTATTTACAGTACATAATACCAAAGCTGAAAAATGGGAAAGATTTTGTAATGGTAGGATTCTCCTTCGGATCTATTATCGCAATTGAATTAACAAGAAGATTGGAAGCTATGAATTTTAAAGGTCGACTGATTCTCATCGATGGCGCTCCTGAACTAGTACAAACGATGTACAAATATATGCGAAGTTCTGAATTAGACCTTCAGATTTACGTTCTAACTCATATTATGGAAATTTATTCACCAGGAAGTAGTGAAAAGGTATAATTTTCATCTTAGACTTATATTAAATTAATTTATAGTATATTTCTAACATGATTCTATTTTTTATGTGAATTGCTATCAATTTTTTGTTCTTTCTTTTGGTCTTGTATATAAAAACGAAATGGATAATTTGATAGATTCTAACGGAATTGAAGAACTGTGATACTTGGAACGAAAGATATAATATTTTCGCCAAACAGTTCTTAGTTATAAATGCACCGCTTTCACTTACAAATTTAAAGACGCTGTGTACAACAATTTACAAACATTTATACGCTCTCCAAGAATATGATCCTTCTACTTTGACACCCATTAAGTCTTCCATAATTTTGCTAAAACCTACACACCCATTGAACTTACCACCAATTGAAGAGGATTATGGTTTGTACAAGGTATTTAAAAAATTTACATTAATCTGTATTAAATAAGTCAAATTATCAAAACTTTTGATTAATGAAGTATGTAATTATTTAAGGTAACTCAAAACATAGTGAAGGTACATTACGTTGAAGGTAATCACGTGACCATCTTGAAAAATAAAAAAGTATTAGCTGCAATTAACGGAAAACCACCATTTATAATTTAATGTTTTAAATTTTTATACAATATATTTATATTTTTTGACCGTATATTTGAGAAACTCAATTAATACTAGAATGTAACTGCCTATTACGGTCGGAGCTAGATCTTCGTTGCTTTAAATAATTCAATCTTGAATTACTAATATATACTATATATGTATTTGCATATATACCATATTGTAGTCTTTTTCAAACTGCGCGCCGAATTGTTTTTCCGGACTAAACGCAATTAAAACTACTCTAGTAATCGCGAATTAAATTGACAAGCAATTTTAATAATTTGATGCTACCATCAAGCATCATATATTATAAAGATGTTAATCTATAAAAACTATTAATAAATTTATTGCGAAAAATATTTTCGTTCAAAACGTTGTTTCCTTAGTATACCGATTATTGCAAAGAATATTACTAAGGCCTCGGTAGTCTAATGGCTCAGGACGCTCGTACGGTTTACAAGAGATCCGAGTTCAAGTCCCGGTCGAAGTAATATTTTTCGCAATAAATTTATTAATAGTTTCTATAGATTAACATCTTTATAATATATGATGCTTGATAGTAGCATCAAATTATTAAAATTGCTTGTCAATTTAATTCGCGATTACTACAGTAGTTTTAATTGCGTTTATTTAGTCCGGAAAAACAATTCGGCGCGCAGTTTGAAAAAGACTACAATATGATATATATGCAAGTACATATATAGTATATATTAGTAATTCAAGATTGAATTATTTAAAGCAACGAAGATCCAGCTCCGACCGTAATAGGCAGTTACATTCTAGTATTAATTGAGTTTCTCAAATATGCGGTCAAAAAATATAAATATATTTTTTAGATTACGTCGCCTGAAAGAAAGACGTTGTTTCTTTAGTATACCGATTATTACGAAGAATATTACTAAGGCCTCGGTAGTCTAATGGCTCAGGACGCTCGTACGGTTTACAAGAGATCCGGGTTCAAATCCCGGCCGAGGTAATATTTTTCGCAATAAATTTATTAATAGTTTTTATAGATTAACATCTTTATAATATATGATGCTTGATAGTAGCATCAAATTATTAAAATTGCTTGTCAATTTAATTCGCGATTACTACAGTAGTTTTAATTGCGTTTATTTAGTCCGGAAAAACAATTCGGCGCGCAGTTTGAAAAAGACTACAATATGGTATATATGCAAGTACATATATAGTATATATTTTAAATTTTTATACATATAATTTGTTAATTTAATTTTGTAATAAAAAATATTTTATATAAAGTATATATTTAAAAAATAGATTTCTAATCAGTCTTAGCGTTAACAAAATCCTTTATACAAGAGATTATAAAAAAAGTTCTTCAGATTGTAAATAATTAAAAAATTATTATTGTTCAGGAAGTTAAACAATACTAAGAATAGTAACAAGTGTTTTATTAGTTACAAATCCTTAAATACTGCAACAATATACATACATATTATATCCTAAACCAACCAGGTAATCCAGGAGCTTTGTTAGGTCCTAAGAAATCCTGCATGTCCTTTTTAGCTATGTCCACAGTTTCTTTATCAATATCATCTTTTACATTCTTGAATATATCAGGAAACACAAATGACTGATCCTTCGGCTACAAGAAATAAACAAAGTTATTTTTCTTCTAATAAAATTCTAAATCCCTTTTTATAAGAAACAAGAGAATAGTTGCAATCTAACCAGTATGACAAAGGCCAATTTTCTGTCGTCCTCCTTAATGACTGAATGCTGCAGTTGATCCCTCTTAAACCTACCCATCGCTATTCTTGTCCTTACTTCAATTACGTTGACATTATAAATTTTCTCTAGATAATTCTTTATATCGTATTTGGACATTTCCATAGAGCAGTGAAACTGTACAATATTTGGAGGTTGTTGATCTGTAGACGTAATTAGCTTCATCCAGAAATTTGGTAGGAAAACTCTTAATTGTGGATTGCCTCTTTGATACATAGGATAACTAGAATATTAATTAAAAATCATATAATCAAAATCAAGTAATTTATATATAAAGTATAATTGGTAATTTTATTTAGAATACCATACCCCATCTAAAATCTTAATAAAAATAAACTTATTTGACGTGTTTTCACTCAAAATGAATGAATTTGGCAAAAAAAATACGGCGGTCGGCCTCATGAACCAAGATATTAAGCATTAAAGTTCAAGATTTTAAAGGTTAAAATATCTATCCCGACTCAATATAGCACTATGTATATACCTTAAAAACAAATTCTCTGCTTCATAAACACAAATTCACTCTTTAAAAACACAAATTCACTCTTTAAAAACACAAATTCACTAATTTAAAAATATAAATTCACTGTTTTAAAAACACAAATTCTTTGCATTAACTGTGAATTTGTGTTTTTAAAGCAGTGAATTTATATTTTTAAAGCAGTGAATTTGTGTTTTTAAAGAGTGAATTTGTGTTTATGAAGCAGAGAATTTGTGTTTTCAAAGTAGCGAATTTGTGTTTGTGAAGCAGAGAAATTGTTTTTAAAGCAGTGAATTTGTGTGATTTAAGCAGAACGTATACATAGCGCTATATTGAGTCGGGATGATAGATATTTTAACCTTTAAAATCTCGAACTTTAACGCTTAATATCTCGGTTCACGAGGTCAACCGTCACATTGTTTTGCCAGATTCTTTCATTTTGAGTGAAAACACGTCGAATGAGTGTATTTTTATTAAGATTTTAGGTGGGGTATTCTAGATAATTACCATTTTCTTTATAAATATCATAATTTACTGAAACAATAATTAAATTTCGGCCAAAATCGAAATTTTGGTTATGTGTCAATTTTGGCCTAAGAATATAAGTATTTCTTCTTCATAAACATCATAATTTAATTATTGAAATAATAATTACATATTAAAATTAATACTTATAAAGAAAAATTATGGTTATTACGTGTCAAAACTGACACGTAATAAGTGTTCGTTTTCAATTTCGATAAAAGTTTCGGTTGGACTCCAATAATTAATAAATTAAAATAAGGTTAGAGCTATCTATCGCTTCTAAAGTTTAAAATTTATCAAGATTATTATGTTATCTAATTATCGCACTAAATATTACGGAGACTTACAATCGTGTTGACATTGTGCTGTGAAATAATAGAGCTTCTTTCGTGTTTAAATAAATATTTCAGAACAAAACAAACGTCTCAGTTATTATGGTTATAACCTCAAACTTTATAGTACTGTTTACAGAGATTATTATTACCGACAAGAATCAAGTTGAATTAAGTGGGGTTCGAATCTTTATTAAATAGGTTTAAATTTTCGTTGTGCTGGATTCACACTGCATCCGATTTGCATCGTATGACGCTCTGCAACCAATCAGAAAACAGGATTCCGATGATACAAAGCAAAATCCATCGGAATCCTGTTTTCTAATTAGTTGCAG